ACGACAAGTATCAACGGAGAATGAATAATTCCTGAAATATCTGGGTTATCATGTTGTCAAGTGTTCAACATTTTCTGAAAATCGCAAAACGATGAGTCCATACAAAAGGTAGAATGGCGGACCTACTTTCCGTATCTCAAATATTTTCGCAATAATGACGTCATTGAAATCAACATTATTCAATCATCGTCGTACCGCCTGTTACCTGGAGCGAAACGTTCATGGATTGAGGTATTCCTCCCGCTGTGTGTAATAAAATCAATTGGATGCCATCCTCATGGGAAATTTACACGATATTGATATCGTTTATGTGCGAGGATATCAAAAACATGACTATCTGATTTCGAAATTTCACGAGTTGGATATACCTACAAGCGTTGTGAATTTAGAGGAGCATGACATTATATCGTAGATGGTTCCCACATTCGACAACAACAACGAAGGTTTCTCACCCTGTATGCACCACATTCACAACCGACCCAAATATAATTGCAGTCTCCGAAATGCAGATATTCTATACGAATGCCTTTATAATATATTACCAAAATGAAAATGTGTAATAAATATTTAAAATGTTTCTTTCCTTTCTTATAGCAAACTTACCACCTGATAATGCACGAAAAGTTGCACAAAATCCCTTCATAACCTCCAATGCTGCGTGTTTTCGTCCCCCCACTCCCCACATCCACCACCTAACATTTGGCAACGTTGCACAACCGAGTCAAATATAATTACAACATACGAAATGCAGATATTCGATACAAAAGACTACCCAAATGATGGAAAATTCATGCTACATACTCATAATTTTCATTTTCGTGTTCTCCAGTGAAAATTGTGATGTTCGAGTACCCGCAACCCCTACCACCTTCAATAATAACAAAGTTAGCCTCCTATGCTTTCAACACTTCTGCAAATGCTTATTTGTGTTTCTTGACATCGAGACGAATCCATTTATGTCGAAATTGTTAAAATCGGACTACCTGAAGTGACCATTTCATTGTAGATTTGGACTCTACACGATATGGCAATTCAGAATTCACCATTACTCTGCTACTATCTCAATTTTTCATAAACCGGGAGTGTTTATTTTTCAATGAATCGTACAGATCTGAAACCTTGTTATTTCATATATATGACACATTCATCAATGATAAATGATGCCTAGCATGTTGAATCCCATGAAAAAATATTAGACCCTCCTAACCTTTCATGTTGCGGACGCCATCTATGTTTTTTCTCCGTCATATTCTGATGATGCCGTCTCGGAAGAATCGTACAAATCCGAAACTTTGTTAATTCATATATTTGGCACATTCATCAAAGAAAAATAATGCTGTTCTTCTGGCATGTTGGACCTCACGAAAAAATATTGAACCCTCCTAACCTTTCATGTTGCGTGCGTTATTTATGTTTTTTCTCCGTCATCTCCTGATGATGCCAACTTGGATGAATCGTACAGATCCGAAAATTTGGTAATTCATCTATTCGACATATTCATTAAAGACAAATAATGCTGTCCTTCTGGCATGTCGGATCCCACGAAAAAATAATAGACCCTCCTAACCTTTCATGTTGCGCGCGCGCCATCTATGTTTTTTCTGCATCATCTCCTGATGATGCCAATTCGGATGTTTTTTTCTTGCATGTTTGCAGCCATGTTTTTTTCTCTCCAACGCTGTATATTCCGCTCAATATCCAACGCCATGATGTGTTCTTTGAACGCGGCACACCCTGTATATCACGATGGTAGCCATGTTTTTTTTCTTTGATGGTGGACGCCAGGTTTTTTCTTCAACGCTAGGAACACCTTGTATACTTTGACGTCGGCCATGTTTTTTTTTCTTGAACGCTACACACCCTGTATATCACTATAGTAGCCATGTTTTTTTTCTTCCACGCTAGACTCCATGTTTTTTTTCAGTTATGATAGCATCTATGTTTTTTTTTCTAACGCTGCACCAACTTTTGTTAGTTAATTTTCCGGTGTCACAGAACCGGTGTTGCTCATCTACTACTGGGTTTTGTTCACTTTTATTTCAATCCACATTTTGTCTACTATTGATAACGCTCACTGGAACCAACTGTTGAAATTAATAATTTCGGATTATGTTTACAGGCCACCAACATTTCGCCAAGAGGTAAGGAGCGCTCCTGAAACCCAACAAATACCAACAACAAGCTGTTTCACGATATCGACTTAGAGACATACAATATAGTTGAAGCAACAGGTGGGTAAAAAATATTTCAGGCTTTTTTTCATTTTTCCTCTTATTTTATTTTCATACCGTGATACCTACAGTGAACCCAAATAGGTTAGGTTGAGTTCGCAGATCAAAAACAAGAAATATGGGATGTCTTAAGCATTTTTTGAATGATGGTGTCAGCATCAATGTACGTACTTAATCTTCATGTTGTTTCAGGAGAGAAGGAAAATTATTCTCGCCACACTGAAAATACTTCTTCAGATGGTGACAAGATTGCTGAAGAAATAACGAGTGAGCTAACACAATCACAAAATCATCAAGAAAAATGCCTCGTGATTTCCACAGCTGTCTGCCCTGTTAATAATATCAGCAAGCTTACGATACTTCCACACCCAACAGCGGACAGTATAGACGAAGGTTTTCATTACGAAACTGAGGATGAAAAAGATGGAAGAAACGCTGATGTATCTGGATATTCCTACCATTATGTGAATAGTTAGTTTTTTATTGTGTTGGCCTAGGCCTGCAACGTTCAGCAATGTTGAATAATTTTCTATTGCCCAAACAAAATATTACTGATACGTATTCTCCAAATGGTATATTTCAATGTTTGATTCTCTACGTAGATGCTGGAGCTGATGGAGAGAGTGTTTCATTGTCATCGGATGATTCTTCATCAAGTTGCTCAACGTGCAGTACCTCCTCTACAAACAGCACCGGGACGACGACGACTACAACTGATGTTGACTACAGATCTAACGTTTGACGTAACAGAAGAGCCGGCTGACAATACAGATAACTGCTCCACAAACGATGAATCAATCATGCCTGATTAGGCAACATTGAAGCCTGAGAAAAGAACGAAGAATCCAGATAAATGAAGGAAATCTGTGGCTAAGAAACTGTGGAGATCAGGTAAAGAGTTTCCTGAAAACTAGACAATTGAAACCGGCTAAAACTATGCTGGTACCGTGCAATGTTGAAAAATGTCAGTTAAGGTGCCTCACAAAATTTTTCGAATAGGAAAGACGAGCTATGTTTCACAAATTTGGGCATTAGGGAATTTGCAAGCACAGAGAAACTTTGTTCTTAGGCACATGAAGTGTGTAAATCCACCCTCCCGTTGAGTGACAATGAACCGGCAAAAAAACAAAACCCTAAATCAGTCATATTTCTTCTCAAAGAACGATGTACGAGTTCTCGTTTGCTTCAAATTTTTCAGAAGTACCTTAGGTGTGTCTGAAAGATTCATGAGAACTGTTAAAAACAAAAATGAAGACGGATTTCTACAAGGGGAAAAACGTGGATTAAAAGCAACTAACATTCTTCCACAGGCAATAACAAATGGGATGAGGGAACATCTTGCTTCAATTCCAGCGATCGAAAGTCATTATGTTCGAGCAAACACTGAAAGAAAATGCATTGACGGAGGAAAAAATCTTTCAGATCTGTACAGAGATTACGTTGATGACTGCAAAATTCAAAAGTTGAATTCGGCAAATATTCCATGTATCGGCATATATTTCTCTATGAGTTCCACGTGTCTTTTCATACACCTAAAAAAGACAAGTGTCAAATATGCGAAACATTCAAATACTCCAATCCGGATGGAAGCTACCGAACTCACCTCAAGGAGAAAGAACTTTCCAGAAAAGAAGAAGATGAAGATAAAACGTTGATCGGTGATGATTATAAGGTATCTTGCTTCGATTTGCAAGTTGCTCTTCCAACTCCCAAGGGTGACGTCAATTCCTTCTATTATAAATCCCGTTTGAATTGCTATAACTTCACTATTTGTCAACTTGAGAAGAAAAGGTTAGGGCCAGTTTACTGCCACTGGTGGCATGGAGGAGAGGGGAAACGTGGGTCCAATAAAATCGGCTCCTGTCTTCTGGATTATTTGCAAGAAACCTCGGAAGCTGCAAATTCTCAAGTACTGGATATCATATTTTATTCTGAGAATTGCGGGGGACAAGGCAAAAACAAATTCATTGTTTCAGCTTTTTTGTATGCTGTAGCTAATTTCAACATCAACAGCATTACTCACAAGTTTTTAGTGGTTGAACATGGGCAGAATGAAGGAGATTCAAGTCATTCGGATATTGAAAAGGCGATTAAGAAAGCACTCAAGAATAGTCCTATCTACGTGCCCGCCCAATATGCAACCATTATCAGCAACGCCAAAAAACAGGTGCAAAGTTCGTTGTCAAGGAAATGGCGCACGATGACATTCATGACCTTGAAAAGTTGAATAAAAAACATCGCCAATAATGATTTCAACCGCAACTCAAGTGGTGAGAGATTCAACTTCAACGACATATGTGTTATTCGCTTTGATAGATGCCATTTAGATCGGTTCTTCTATAAAACTTTACACCGATACAGAGTTTCATTCTGTGGTTGTCAGGAATCAAGCAAAGACTAGAAAATCATCCTTGATGAACGTGAGTGATGTTGAATTGTTGCCTGCTTATTTTGAAAGCATTCCCATCGGTAAGAAAATATTTGATAACCACCAGTTATCCCAGGTATCAAACTATTTATGATAGGTAAAGGCAATATAGGTATAAATACTCAGATTTGAATGTAATCTAGTTAGTTTTGGAAATAGTGTAATGACCGAAACTAGTCAACAGATATAAAACTATCATGGAAAGTGTCTCTATATTGTATCCTCAAAAACATTGAATATTCTATGAATTCTCACAATTACTATGTTCTTTCAATTGATAATTGTTGAATATAGAAAAATTACATTTGAAATAATTCTACTAAATACTATTTTCCACTTACTGTACGCTATAGCGCAGTTACTCGGATTTGAATCTTGATCGAAGTCTTTCGTAGTGAATTTTGACCCCAAATGATGAGTTAAAGCGTCTCCAGCATCACCGGTGCAATCTCTCAAAGTACTCAATGGATAGCCTTCCTTTTCCGAACCGATAGCGAATGCTTTATAATGAGCGAGAGCCTTCACATTATCTCTGTCGACGATTTCTACGAGTAACTCATTTGCTTCATAACCTACGAAAAAATATTTCAATTAATTGGAAAATAACAAAACTCATGAACTGATTCAATGAATAAATCACTTTATGGAGAAAGATAATAGTTTGTTCGCCAGACGCAAGTATTGGTATTCACATCAAAACGTATAATATTATTGAGTTCAATTCAGAACTTAGAATTCTATAATCAGAAACCATTACTGAAAATGGATAGCACAGGAAAATCATTAAAGGAATATAATTTCGATAGTTGAATTTTCAATTGAAATTTATGGTACAAGAGTTTTAAGAATGAAGTTAAACACTGGATGCTTTTGAAAATAATTGCTAAACTATTAAAGAAGGAGTCTAACCAGTCTTTTTCACATAATATTTACATTCGGATACTACTAATTTACTTACGATAGATACAGTAGGTAGATTGTGGATTTGATATTAATACAGAACTTAATAATTTATATTGGTGAAAAACATGAAAACCGTGAAAAGTATCGTAGCATCTGTTTGAAATTATGAATAGTGAATTTATAGTACAGTATCCATCTTCATTTCATTTCGAACTCATCATTATTTATTGGTATTTCTGTAATAGCTCCGTAAATATGACGTATTTGAATAAATAAATAGAACTGTATTAAATGACAACATTTTCCTGGGCACAACACGACCACCTCGTTCCATATAATGATTTTTTAGTTGAACAACTTTCCAATGGGAAGTATAAAATATCTCTCATAATGAAACCATACTGACACCTTAGAAAACCTTCTTAAAATGTTCGAAAAATAATTCATCAAGAACCAAATCCTCGATATACAGGAGGATTGGAAACTAAACATATACTGTGCGAGTATAAATCTAGATTATAGCTAATTGTTTGGTCAATACATATATGGCTGAAACCATACAATTTCATCTACTTATGATATGGAAAAATAAATGAAAATTATGTTTGTTTCGAATAAAAGAGAATGATCAATTCTTCTATCATTTTAAAAGTTGAAAAATTGAATGAATATTATTATCACAATTCAAGGCTATTTATTGCACTATGAAAAGAAAATTATGAAGTCATATTCACATTTCGAGTTTATTCAATACAACTGACCGTGAACTCAATTGTTAGAATACATAAAGAAACAAAACATATTGCATAAATCAGTTTATAGTGGCAATGAAAGAAAGGTGAACTAGCGTTTTTCATGAATCTATTCATATAAAGAGTGAATTCAATTAATAAAATACAAAAAACATCACATGAAAAGTACATGAATCTGTTCATATGAATGGTAAATTAAATTAATGGAATACAAAAAACATTACATGAAAAGTATAAATGCAATGGAAACCACATTGCAGTTTTCATGAATCAATTTATTCGAACAGCGGATCCAGTTACTGAAATACATAAGTGAGTTTATAGTATGTAAGCTCAGTTATAGTTGTCATGTAATAATTGATTCAGAAAATGAAATATCCCAGTGAAATTGATAAATATCACATTTCAAAGCTATCTTTAACGCAATTAAAAAAAAATCGCAAAATTATATTCACATTCCAAAGCTTTCTATTCACACAATGGAAAAAATCTCAAGGCCCTATTTACATTCAGCATCAACATATGTACTTCTATATCGACAATAAAGATAGTACTTCGTCACGTATGTGACGTTGAATGTTCAATATCTGAAAGCCTTCTTTGTTCAAATAGACATTCCTGAATATTCTCATTATTGATATATATTTGACTTTGTCTTTCTGATTGTATCAATGCGAGCCTGTATATTAGCCTTTGGCTATAGCAACTCATCAAGATCAGATAAATACATTGCCTTTTTTTATAATCTGCCGCCTCTTTCTTGGTTTTATGTGTCTCTGAAAGAAGTTCTAAGTCGGATAATTGCTTTTTCAATTCAAAGAATGCTTCAAACATTGAAACAACAAGAGTTTCGTCAGGTGGGTGATTCACATATTCCGATTTTTTTGAATGAATTTTTGATACTTCGCCACATTTTTGGTTGAATTCTCCAATTCTGGTTCTTGTTGTTCTCCGTCTGAAATGACCACTATAGAATGTGGGTTAGGCTCAGCTGCTTGCGTTGTAGCTAACTTTTCTCCAATAATTTCGTAATCACATATCAACTGATCTAAATCGGCAGGCAATTAATGTTTAACCAGTGTTGATACTGGCCATGGATTCGCTGACATGATCGAGTGTTCATCCATGATTGAAGCTGCTGACCCATTACTGCATTTGCTATCATTCACACTTTTGATCGTTATCGACGATAACATATTCACTGACATATTGAATAAATTTCCACATCAACTATATTTGGTTTTCAATAAAAACTATGAGCTGAATGAGTGTAGGTATCGGCTATTTTAAAAGGATTTCCAACCTATCCCTTCACCTCTAGTATCTTCATTCTCTCAGTATCAGAAGTATACATCATATGTTGAGGTGTTGTTTCACAAATACCGTCAGTAATGAATATAACAATATTATGGGACATTTACATAATGGGGTATTTTTCTCTGTGTTTTCACCATCTAAATCGCAAAGTTGCTACTTATTGTAAGACAAGTTTTCAATTCTTCACAGCAGGTATCTAGAATATTTTTTTGATTCTCCATTATATTATTTATGGCTGGTGTCTTAATATGCTTCACCTAATAATGATTCAAATTTTTTTGAGTTAGCTGGAAAAAAATTCAATAGACAATCTGAGATGATTTTCTGTTGTATACAAGATCTACATATTTTGCTATTATGTTCAACCAAATGCTATTATATTCATCCGAATCGGGTAATATTCAGAGTCTTTATTTTCATAGAAAAAATCACATAATGTTGACAGTCATCAACAAGTTATTTGACGCAATTAACATGTGGCAATATTCAATCCTAGTTTATGGAATTTTCAGATGAAATCTTAACCGTTCAATGAAAATATCACAATAAAGTGTTTTTTGAATACGTCAGTTATCAATAAATTGATGGATGTAGCCGTTACTACGTGGTAGGAGATCGTGATGAAGAGAGAAATGAAAACTTTGTTTTTACCACTTTTATTTGTAACTAACGTTACTGCAGTTTCGTCCTATATGGACATTTTCAAACTTGAACAATAAACTCAGTCATCAGTCGTCAGTTATCGATTTTCATCAGGTATCGGCCAATTTCATCATACATCTAATATTCACAAAGTTATGATTAGGTTTTTCAGTCTTATTCATCAATTATTCTATTAATATAAATGAGATTAACTTTGAACAACCTACGTCACTTCATCGATTCACGCAGTAATTTTATTCATTGTGCAATAAATAGCCTCGAAATGTGATAATACTCATCATTTCATTTTATAACTTCCGCAATATGAATGAAATGATTGAAGACTTGAGCATTCTCTTTTATTCGAAACAAACACCATTATTGTGTATTTTTTCATATCATAATTGAAAAAAAAATTCATCCTAGCGAAATTTTGATAAAATAGCTTTGAGATATAATTGATTATCATCAAAATATCCAAAATGAATCCATCATAGCTTGTATGCAATTTTTTTTTGTAATATTCAAAAAACCAAATCGATGATAAGAAATCTAAAATTTTGAAATAAAGGTTATTGGTCTTTGAAGACGACAATCTGACAAAAAAAATCATAAATTAATTCAATCATTATCATACATTCGACTTGTATTATTTATCGATTTCCTGAGAATAAATAAATTCCCAAATTATTAAGTTCATGAAAACTTTAACTCACCTCACAATAATATACTATAAACTCATTTATGCGCTCCTGATGTAATCACTTATGTATTTCATGAATTTAATCCGTTGTTCAAATAAATTGAATGTGGATTCCATTGATATAACAAACAACTGATTTATGCATTCACAGTTTTCATGAAATGCTTTTTTCTATTCTATTAACTCAATTCACTATTCACGTGAATAGATTCATGAAAAACAGTAACGCAGCTTTCGCTGTTACCTACTGTAAACTGATTTATGCTATCCATATCATGTTTTTATTTTCCACTGACTGAGTTTATAATTATTATGAAAAATTTAATATCATAGGATTGGTGACATAATAGAAGCTAGTATCCAAAAATATGTTTTTCACTGAAAACTTTCCTTCATATCGACTAATACATGCTATTATTATATTAAAAATATAAAGATTCTTAGAAAATACAACCTAGTAGAGAACTTCAAAATGGATATTTATATAATACTGATAATCTAGTAGGTTTGAGTATCGTGTTTCTGTAAATGAATTTTCATGAATTCCATGAATACCTGTTCATTTAAAGAATATTTCTAACGAATTTGATTTACGGTCGACATAATAAAGATTTATTATTACTTAAAAAAATACTTTGATTTCGCCATAAAGGGTTCGTGATTATTATTATTGAATGTTGGTTTGGTCACGAATATTTCCATAAGTACAATGAATATTTGGGCATGAATGTGAATATCTGATATATCAAATATAAAGACTGTCTTTACCACCTACTTCGGATATGTATCATCACCAATACCTATTTGACATATTTCACACAACGGGTTTAAATCGCTATTGTGACTGTTCAATCGCTATTGTTCAATGAAATAGGTGACTACCCCAAATATTGAAAATATCAACAATGGTTACCTATCATTGAAGGTTAGACATTTGAATAGTTATTTATAGGTCATTGTTAAGAATTTCTGAGTATTATGACAAATCATGATGAAATTCACTGAATTCATTGCTTTTCGATACTTATTGACCGCGAAATAATTGATGGAACTGTATTACAGTGATATGTCTATTGAAATTAGTCAAACTGATAATTGAAATGAAATAGGGTGGAAAAAAGCTTGGAAATATTCAAAATAGCTTTTGAGCAGGTGAATGTATGATTGAACTCTACTTTTTTATGTTTAGATATGAAATTTTCTGCTGAAAAAATAGTCAATATGATTCACATTTTGGGTGAATGTGTGAATGTGACAGAAATTATTCATTATCCAGTTTCACAT